CACTTAATTTTCAAGTTTCAACCACCAAAATAACTTATAACTTATATTGTCATGTTTTCTTTCTATTCATTTTGATATCCTAGTTACCTGTTGCTCGAAGAAGACTCATTAATCATATGTTATTTTTGTTAAATAAAATGTAATTTTCTTCATAATTTTTTGTGTTTTTCCACAATCTACAATATCTGCACATTTTTGAACAAACAAGTTATACTTGTTATTTTTTCATTAGATTTCTGTTTTCACATTTGGAATCAGATACTGCATTTCATACATTATAATGTGAAAATGTCATATTTTTAGCTTTTATTTATTTAATAATAACTATTTGGAGAAATCAGTTTTCTCTTATGACATTGATAATTTCCGTTGTTTGAGTTACTTTAATCATCTATAAATTTGATGTGTCTTAAATCAAACTCAAACTTACTCTTAGCCTAGTTCCAATTTTTTTAACTTGCACCCATTTTGATGTTGAAACGTTTGTTTTTGTTAACTTGCATTTCTTTCACCTATTACTCTCAGTCTTCCTGAACTAGAATTGTAATCTTACTATCTGGTAAAATACGCTTCGTGAGGCATTGTGATAATTAATAATTTTATGCTTCTTGTAACCTTTTGTTAGTTAACTCGGGTTTGTTTTCAGGTTCTACTTTAATTTACTCTCAGATTTCCTTCCACAACCTTACTTTTATTTCACCCGTGTCAGGATGTAGGTCAGTGGGCTATCAGATTGTCTTTCTCAATATTTTATTAATATCTTCCACCTCGAGTAGTGAAATTCCTGAATTGAGTCTTGGCTTAGTTTTAAAGAGTTTAATATCAGTTGTATGTGAGCCATCATTAACTTTCTCCTTTTTTTAAGTTTTTTTCATCTGATTGTCATTTATCCAATTTGTGTAATTAATTCTTCTTTCATTTTTTTATAGAAATTTATAATTTGTTTTCTGTGTCAACCTTTCTCTCATAGAGATTCTAGAATTTTCTCCCCATTCTATTTAGTATGGTTATTATAACCAAAATAGGTTTTTATACCCCATTTAGGTGGCTTTCTCTGTTATCTGTCAAGTACTTTATCAATCCAGGACTGCCACACTGTAAAGATTATTTCTCCCACAGTTTTCTTCCATGTCAGATTAGCCTGATCTGTTTTATTTAAAATAACCAACTAATATATTAGGAGTTTGAAATTGTGTCATATTGTAGTGGTATTGTATTATTGTCTCTGACTATAACTGGGTACATGATGAAATGTTGTCTAATGGACAGCGACTGGCTGTTGTAGAAACACAAGTATAGAGGATGACATTTCGAAAGTTTCATCATGCATACTCTAAACAATTTATCAAAGAACGGGGTACGTTTTTATCATCTGTCTTTATATAAGAAAAAAAAAATCAACAAGTGAGCACAACAATGCTTTGAATTTCTTGTTACAGTACAGCATACCAATGGGACGAGAATGATGCAAATTCCTTGAAAAATTCCCACTAACCATCTTTAAATGGACACCTTTCTGTAAATGTGCTTATACACAAATATCTGAAACTAATTTTGGAATCATATAGATATTTGAAAATACATATTTTATAACGAGTTATGATAACACACATAATGACTAGGATATTTTATACAATACCACCTGTTACTTCCAGTTGTTAATCGTTGTCATATTCCACATAGAAAACTGGATGTACTGTACACTGTGATAAGAATAAAACTAGTAATACATTCGCAAAGGTAGAGTACTGTAACAAGAACTGGACAAAATGTATTCTGGCTTGAAAGTTATTACACATTATAAAATATTAATTTTTGCACCTTCCCTCTGAAATAAGACCTATTTAGTCTAACACAAATATTGGCTTTTAACTAGAAAAATGAAATTCGTAGTTTAGAAAAATTTCTTATGTTCAAGCTAGATATAAGAGTAATTTTCAGTGCTAAAATTTGATAAAAAATAAAAAAAACACACAACCCTAAACAATTGCAATAAATTATTTTACTAAATATGTAAAAAACCATTGGTCGAACTCGCATAATAACAAATGTACAAAATAAGATCTAAATCAGGATATTTAACATATAAAATTGTTTATGTCTTGTTCATTTGGAAACCAAATATCGTTTCACACACACACACACACGGTAGCATATGTTAACTCGGACTTTTTTTTGTTTAAAACGCTATTCTTTTTTTCCCAGGTTTGTAGAAATCAAAGATAATAGTGATATTTTATCATTTTCTTTCTTAGAAATGTAGAACACATGTTGTTTAACATGAATAAATCTAAAAAAAAAGAACGTGAGAGAAAATCTAGTAAAAATTATTTTCACTGCATTAGTGAAACCATGCTAAAGATCAGGCCTCTTAAAACAAATGAAAAGATTTATAAAACAAAGTTACAGAGTAAATGTTTCAATAAAATATAGTGTTTGATTCCAGTTGATTTATTAACAAGAAATCTTAGTTACAGGTATTTCACATTAGATTTACTTAAGATTTATGAAAAAGTTTAGTAATTTTGCTTCAAAAACCTAGAACACCTATAACTGAAAAAGACACCAACAGATCAAAACAATTTGGTTTTGAAGTAAGTATTAAAAAGTAAACTGGCTATAATTACCTTTACAATAAGATATAACCACTGGCTTTATGACAACGTGAAACCGAAACGTTGTAACCCGAATCTTTCAGCTACATACATATTCAACATTTCATAATTCACACGAATCAAAATGAGAATTCCTCTTTTCTCAGAACCTGTGTGCTGGCTATATAGAAAAATTAAAAATAATTAAATGTTGGTTTCTATAGCAACAGTGATTACATCTCAATTTCTGTGAAGTTCTTTGATAATTTTGGTTCCAAATGAATAAAGTTTTTTTTTTTTTTCAGTAATAATTTATGTTTTATATAGTAATGAAATACAAATATTTGCCGAGGTACTAGAAATAAAAATGTACAATACAGAAAGAAAAAACATCTATAGAACATTAGCACTAATAAATCAACAATACTAGAAAAGAATCTTCACATAACCACTTTATATTCAGGTACAAATAGAAAACATTAAACTTACTGGATGATAAGAAAAAATAGAAAATTATCATCAGTCTTCATGAAAACAAATCATCAGTAACTCTCCAATCTAACGAATGAAATTACAAGATCAATAATAATAATACCATTATTTAATTTCAGAAAACATTATATATTCTCGTTTCAATGAACTGTTTTGCATAATTTTGTTAAATATCCAGATAAATTAATTACTAATTTTTTCAAACTGAAAAGTGGTACAAGTACCTTAATAGCAATACGGAAGAAGCTGCATTTGAAAATTTTCATAATGCAGCTAATATTATATCTTTAGAACTAAA